AAAAGTTTGGGGTTAGCACAAAATCTTGATAGACATTAAGATGAGATGTAAATGGTATTCTTTTCTCTCTTAAACTAAAACTTTTTAGTCACGTGTAATCAAAAAATCCTAAGAACTCTATTAGTGTTATGTGTTCTTATATTTAACTGTTTTGTCTAAAAGAATGCATCCTGCCCACATTTGGCATTGAGCACCTGAAATGTAGTTACTCTGAATTGAATTATGCAAATTTTTGAGCTCTTATGAAAAACAAAATGTAAAATCTTATTTTTTTTTTTTATTTTGATCATATGTTGAAATAGAGTCAAGACTATTGGGTTATTAAAATGAATTTTTTATTTTTTCTACTAGGAAATTTAAAATTACATATATGGCTTGCTTTTGTTGCTCATTCATAGTGTTGATGTGAAAGCACTGGTATAGAGAATAAACACTTTCATCTAATAATGCCTGACTTGATAATTGACATTTCAGAGGAAGAATTTTCATGTTTATTGTTAGTCCTTTTATGTTTTAATCACTCTATTTTGAGTAGAAGAACAAAAGAAGAAACGATTCCAAAAATTTACACTGTATTCTAAAAGGCTTCGGAGGATACTGCTGTTTGGGAAAAACATGAGGTGGCATTTTGGTTATAAAAAGAGAAGTCTCTAGGCTAGTCTTATAAGAGAAGGGTTGAGATAAGTGTTGAGACAAAGTTGTCTGTATAAGAGAAATTTTCTATCATCTGTGGCAGCTTGAAAGAAGAGGAGTCTGGGCCACAAGATTTATAGAAAAGCATGTGGGGAAAAGCTCATTGGAGAGCCAGAGGGGAGAACTGTTAGCAGACTGGGCTCAGGAGGAAGGGGGATCACTACAATATGACTCTCGGAAGACAATGACCTTTGAACTTTATTAAAAATCAATGGCTGCTAAAAATCAGTTTTAAGTTACTTCTTTTTTGTGTGTGCTTAAACCACTCTTTAACTTCTACACATTGTTGGTAATAATCTGTTACATATACAGCTGTCAGTTCTTGGTGACTCGTGGCAAGCTGGAAAAGAACCATGTTTAAATACGTGGCAAAAGGATGCGGAGAGCAAAGACGCATCCAGAAGCATCGATAAGAATGAACAAAGGGATTGAGACTTGAGCCAGGCACAGACCACATAAAATTATGACAGTCAATTGTCATCAAAAAGTTGTAAGCCTTCCCTCTCAGAAATCTTTAGAAAAAATTAAGTACACTTACTTGGAGAAGAGGGTTCAGCTTATTTGATTTGCCTATTAGTAGTGTGCGGGAATCAAGTTTTATCATCCCAAAATATGCCTTTTGTAGTATTAATTTTAAGCTGGTTATTAAGAAAAAAAAAAGACTCAAAAAAAACCTTGACCCTCCCCCTTTACCTGCCTAAAGGAATTCAGATAGAAAAACTTGCTTGAAGTAAGGGAACATCGCCTTAGCATTATAATGTAAACTGCATGTGGCAGACGGGAGAAATATAGCAATACCTGTTTTAATAGACTTCCCATGGTATCCCATTGTTTCTGAGTAGCCCAGCAAGAATTTGTTTACCACATGCTTGCTCTTTCTCATCTGCCTGTGAATTGCCTCCTTTTCCTTTGAAATCCCTGCATCCCTTTTCCTTTGTCCAAAATGGCACGTAACCTCAACTGCCCAATGCGACTTCTGGTCTCATTCTTTTGGCACCCCAAATATACATTCATAATAAATTTTGGACATTTTCTCCTGTTAATCGGTCTCATATTAATTTATTAGCCCAGATAGAAGAATGTAGAAGGTGAGAGGAAAGTTATTTTTTGTGCCCGCACAATGGAAAGGGAGAATCTGGAAGACTAGAGAACTAGGGAGTCACACTGGGTAATTATACACATGAGATCTCTAATCAGCTACATTTTTTCTTATCCATTTCCAGTTCTTAGCTCTGATTTAATATTTAATGAAAAAGAAAAAAATTATTTAGTTACAAGTTCTAACTAGATTTTTTAAAACATTATTTTGAGCTTGGGGGGACTAAGTATATACAGGAGCTTCCTTAAGACTTAAACTTTAAGTATTTAATTAATATGATTTTTATTAATTCACTCTTATTTTAATTCATTGTATGTTATTTAGAAGATCACTTACATGATTAGGTCATTGGTATTCTTTAAATGATAATCCATAAAACACCGAATCTACTTACATATCTTCCCACTGCTCCTCACCTTGGTGGCCATTGAGGCAACTTTAAAGAACTTCTATAGCAAGAAACAATGGTGTCCAATTTTGTAAAATTAAAACTCAATCCTTTAAATGTTAAACTTCAATTTAAATAATAATACTACCTTTTTAATAGAGGAAATAGAAAAAGTATAAAAAAAGATGACTCTGTTTAGGAATTTCTGTAATGTGAGGTCACCTAGCATTGATATACCACAAGTGAAGCATGCTTCTGTACCTCTAATTCATAATTATTGTTTCCCAAAGCCACTTTTGAAGATGAGGAAAAATAATGGCTAGCAAATATAAGACCACTGTTGTAATGATTGAGGCCCAAATACAGCTATCTTTATCTAATTGGGTTTTATAAGCCATTTTCTTGCTACAAAATCCTTAGCTATTTTACAGCCAGGGTTTTTTAATCTGGCTTTCATGGACAGGCTTCGAGGAAACCTGTGAACCTGTTGAAAATGTATACAAAATATTGTATGTCTCCCCCAAAATTCTGACTTGGTCTAGCCAAGCTATTTATTTTGAAATTTCAAACAATATTAGTGGAGGATGTCCATCCAACCCCCATCTTTGGAAGACAGGCTAAAAAATGGGGGTTGAAAATGATTTAATCTATGTCTTACTTTTGGACATTTACGTTAAATGAACACACTTAGTACAAAAAGCTTTTAAGAGTTCTCATTAGGTTTAGGATAAATGCCAAAAGTTGGGATTGCTGGGGTAAAGGATGTAAAAAATTTTAATTTTAATACTCTTGATACATACTGCCTAATTACTTGCCAGAAAATTTGAGTTCACATCTTTATTAACAATGTGTGAGAAGACTTATTATCTCACACATGGATATATAATTTTAAATATTAAATTGTATATAGTTTTGACTTGCATTTCTTACTTTTACATATTTTCATATTCCGATCCCGTCAGAACAGAGAAGTAGTCACTTCCTTCCTTGGTTAGTGTATATATATATATATATACATACACACACATATGTATATATATATATGTTGTGACTATGAATATAACAATTCATTAAATGTTAAACTTTATGCAAACAATGCGTCTAGCCTGTGCTTGACAATTATTTTCTGTATTTCATCTAACCTTCAAGACAACTCTGTATTGTTATTCTCGTTTTCTAAATGAGATAACCTAGCTTTGAGACCCCAGGGAGAGTAGCCCAAATCACAGAGATGAGCTGAAGCACTGGGATTTGAGCTATGATCTCTCACTCCTATAACTAACCACAGAGTTAAGGCTGGGGGGTTGGGTGGGGCTGAAACCAAGTGCAAAAACAAAACCCGGAACACACCAAAACCAACACAAGCAAACCCAAAACGAACAAAAACAGGTATCCTGCATGCCTGCAGTTTCCATATACTGGGCAAACGTTTCTAAATTAAAGAGCGACTTTTTGGCTGCCAGACGTGAGTCCACCCTCCAGTTTATACCGCTCCCAGCGTCACCAATGTCTGCGACGATTCGCAGACAGATGACCGCAAGAATGTTCAGCTGAGGCAGATGGTGCACATCTTTCTCTTTTGCAAAAGGAAATGCCTGACAGGGCGGGATAAAAAAGATACTATTGAGAGAGGAAAGGAGATATATGAAAAAATGCAAAGGAAAAGGCCTGCAGAAATGACCGACTCAGCCAGTTAAAACTGCTCTCTCCCCATTCTGCCCAGTGCTCTCCGGCTAACATGTCTTCCCATAGCTACCTTCCTCACCTCAAGGACTCTCAGCTCACATCTGTTGATTCATAGCTTGCTAACCAACAAATATTCTTATTTCTGTAGCTGTGCAGGAACAACAAGACTGTGTAAAACTGCTTGTTATGTAACAATTAGAGCTCAGCCTTTGGATAGGAATCAGCTGAGCAGGTGCGGGCATCAATAACTGCTGCTCCCCGCTTATAGCCTACGAATCCCGTCTGTCTGTTCAAGAAGCCTATAATGGAGCTGATAACGCCAAGGTCCTGCGTTCTACAAAACAAACCACCTGTAAGACCAGTGGTTTGAAAATTCCTCCCGCCTTGCAGCACCCCACCCCACCCCGCCCCCGCCCCCAAAG